GGAGGGATGGCATTGGGCGTTATACCTGATGTAAATGACAAGTTGATGGGTGCTGATGAGTTGATGGGTGCAGCACTCCAACATGGCACAAGTATACATATGTAACAAACCTGCACGTTGTGCACATGTACCCTAGAACTTAAAGTATAAAAATAAAAAAGTAAAATAAAATAAATAAATCAGGGGTTGTCACAAGAAAAAAAAATAAAATCCTAACTCCCATAGTATATATGACACTGGACTTTCAAACTTTTACTCACAAAGCAACAGCAAATGTCACAACCTATAAAGAAAATATTAAAAATTCATGTTTTTGGGTTTGTTTTTTGTTTTTTTGAGACGGAGTCTCACTGTATTGCCAGGCTAGAGTGTAGTGGTGTGATCTTGGCTCACTGCAACCTCTGCCTCCTGGGTTCAAGCGATTCTCCTGCTTCAGCCTCCTGAATAGCTGGGACTACAGGTGCATGTGCCACCACGTCCAGCTAAATGCTGTAGTTTTAGTAGTGGCAGGGTTTCACCATGTTGGCCTGGAAGGTCTCGATCTCTTGACCCCATGATCCACCCACCTCGGCCTCCCAAAGTGCTAGGATTACAGGTGTCAGCCACTGTGCCCGGCCAGAAAATTCATGTTTTAAGCTTTTAAGTTTTTCTTTTCTGTAGGCATAATGTCAAACATGATGAAAATTAACATACTTATTAATACATGATGACTACCCTGGAAGGAATCACGGAATTCTATAGCCCTGCGACTTCAGCTATGACCTACAAAGAATGCTTACCCCAAACCCAGCACACTTTTCTGTACTGTATCACGATCTAGAGGAAGCAGATAGAGGAGGAGGAGGAGGAAGAGGAGGAGGAGCAGGAGGAGGAGGAGGAGGAGGAGGAGGAGGGTTTTTTCTATAAACTCTGTGAATCAATTTATTCAACTAATCTATACTGAGTACTAATTTAGCAGAAAGCTAGCACTATACACTAAAATATTCGTTCTTGAGAATAATATGTTAATATTCATTTCTTTATTGTCCATTTTCAGAAGGCAGCTAAAGAAAAAGATAGGGTGAAAAGGTGACCTCAAATTCTTTCATAAACTAAGCCAGGAAATTGATGTAATAGAGCAAAAAGAGGGAACAGATTCAAGTAAAAACAAAAACAAAAACGTGAGGGTATATCCCCAGTGCTTAGAATGGTGCTGGGACATAAACGTCATTCGGTAAAGTAGGTTTTAAATGGATGATGAATATATTTGGAGTCAGACAGACCTAAGACCCACTGCTCCACTTGTGCAATGGATCCCATCCTCTCACTGTTTGAGCTGGTATCCTCTCTCCTGAGTCACTGATTCTTCCCACTTCACAAAATCATTCTTACCAGCATAGAACATGCTGAATAATGAAATCATATTAATATATTATTTCATAATTCACTACTCAGCAATGAGTTATAAAACCACTACTTGACTCTACATTCTTTCTTCAGTTACTATCTGATTTTTCTGTTACCTTTGTTGTAGAAGTCCTTAAAATGGTTTACTGTACTTTGGTTCATATTCTCTCTTGAATCTACTCCAATCATGCTTCCAACTCCATCATGCCACTGTAACACCTCTTGTCCAAGGTCAACAAGATGGTCTCGAGATGATTAATTTTCTGTCCTCATCTTATTCAACCGCTCAGCAATGTTTGATCTTCGTGATCATGCCCTCCTTCAAAACACATTTTCTTTCTTTGGCATCCTGGACTCTGTTCTCTCGTGGTTCTTCTAGCCTTCTGGCTCTTCCTTCTCAGTCTCCTCATCTTCTCAGCCTCCAAAATTGTGACTTCTCAGGGCTCATTTCTTGGGATTTTTTTTTTTCCCTTGGTAAAATCTCTCCCTATAGGTGATCTCATCCAATCCCAGGGCTAATACAGAGGCTGACAATTTTGATCTCTAATCTTGATCTTTCTTCTAACTTCAGATTTATATATCCGACAGCTTAAACATCTATAAGCTTAACATGTCAAACATCGAGCTCTTACATTTCCTTCCCAGACCACTCCTCCAGCAGTTTTCTTCTCTCTCTAAATGGTACTTCCATTTTCCATTTGCTTTGTCTAAAAATCTCTGACTTCTGACATCTTTGGTTCTTCTTCTCACATTCCACACATTCAGTCCATCAGCAAATTTTGTTGATTCTTTCCAAATGTCTTCAGAAAGTAGTTACTCTTCATCATCTCTCCTGCTATACCCGTTTCCAATTCACCACCACTTGGGTTACCGAAATAGTGCTGAACTCCTCTATATTCTACTCTTCATACAGTATTAGATCACAGCACTATAGACACCTATATCTTCCATGGCTTCCTCTCTCATTGAGTAAAAGCCAAAGTCCTTAGGAAAGAATATTCAAGGACCTAAATGATCTGAATCCCTTTCTCCCACCCACCACCCCAGCTTCATCTCCTATCTACCATATTTGGTTAAACATTTTCAACCATATTGGTCTCCAAGCTATTCTTCAAATATGCCCCAAACATTGCAAGCTCTGTGGCCTTTGTGCTTTCTGCCCCCTTTCCCTAAATGTTCTACTTCTAAGAGGGGTTGCTAAGTGCTTACTACATCACTCCAGGTCTCTGTTCAAAAATCACCCGATTTGTGACACTTTCCTGATCTTCTCCATATAAAATAGCACCTTGGCCTATAATCCCACATCCTCCTCTATCTTCTTGACCTTGCTTTATTTTTGTTATTACTGTGGGACATATATATTTATTGCCTATTTGTCGAGTGTCCATCTCTCACTATCAGGTAAGAACCTGGTTTTGTTCATTATTGAGTCACCAGTGACCAGAATATGCTGGTTCATATTAGGCACTCAATAAACACTTGCTGAATAAATGAACCAATTGTATTACCATCATTATCAGTATTACCTCCATTACCTAAAGGCTTAGGTCTCAAGGACTGAAGCAGAGCAACCGCCTGCAGTGCTCTAAAATGGAGCAAAAGACAACCTAAATCCAGGTTACCTTGTTGGGAGGGAGGCCAAAATACAGCCAGGGCACACTGAGAGGCGGATATGTACTTTATGTGCTAAGGCCAGAAGAGGAAAATCATTTCATACTTCAACATTTGGATTTCAGTAAACACTATTAGCATATGGCCACAAGCAGCTTGAATTCCTTACAGAGCACATCTATTAGAAGAGCTTTGTGTTATTCTATTTCATCCCTAATACTGTAACCCACAAAAAGGGAATACTATATGAATAACTAACAGAAGCAAAAGTTAGAAAAAGTTAGGAGAGAATGTGATTTCCTTAAATTGGTCATTTTAAATCTTCTATTATTATTATTATCTTGCGTATCATACATCAACAGTGTTTTCCTTTTTCTTATCTTGGAGCTATTTCTTTATCATATTCCTGCTTCAAGTAGAAAGAAAAAAATACACCCAAATGGTAATTTTAATAATCTAGTCACAAGGGTTCAAAAATCCAATAAATAAATTTCAGGGTCTTATCATTTTGTATTAAAGCAACTTATTACATAGATGACATTTTCCTTTAGTAGATGTGTGCATTCGTGTTTGTCATTTTTAAAATGGAAATAGAATCATAATGTTACCTTAAAATGACCAGATTTAGAATGAGAACTTTCATCACATGGGAGGAGTAAAAAATACAATAAAACAAGATGATATGTATATACGAGAAAATGGGCATAAAGAAATCAATGGAAAGTGAACAAGGCACAAATTTAATCACACAAGGATCTAAGAATTAATGTGTCAGTTGATAACATTTCAGTATATCTTTTGGCTAATCAGAGTAAAAGTATAGATTTGCATAGGAATAGAAATTTGAGCAGAATTATAATTCAAAGAAAGGGCTTGGCTCAGAAAAGTAAAACACATAAAATGATCTTAAATAGTATGGTCTTCATTTGCATTACTTTTTTTTTTTTTTTTTTACTACAAGTCCTTATTTTTCACTTTTATTAAACATAAACAAGATAGTTTGTAATTTCTTATGATTCGATGACTTGAATTTAAGATTAAGTTAATTTGTAGTTTAAAAACTTTCTCAGGTCAGTTGAGGTGGCTCATGCCTGTAATCCCAGCACTTTGGGAGGCCGAGGCAGACAGATCACCTGAGGTCAAGAGTTCGAGACCAGCCTGAACAACATGGTGAAATCCTGTCCCTAGTAAAAATACAAAAATCAGCCAGGAGTGGTGGCATGCACCTGTAGTCCCAGTTACTTGGGAGGCTGAGGCAGGAGAATTGCTCGAACCCAAAAGGTGAAGGTTGCAGTGAGCCAAGATCATGCCACTGCATTCCAGTCTGGGCAACAGAGCGAGACTCCATCTAAAAAAAAAAAAAAAAAAATACAAAATACAAAATTAGCTGGGCATGGTGGCAGGTGCCTGTAGTCTCAGCTACTTGGGAGGCAGAGGCAGGAGAATTACTTGAACTTGGGAGGCAGAGGTTGCAGTGAGCCGTGATCATGCCACTGCACTCCAACCTGGGTGACAGAGCAAGACTCTGGCTTAAAAAAAAAAAAAAAGTTTGTCGGTTGTGATGGCAGGCACCTGTAGTCCCAGCTACTTGGGAGGCTGAGGCAGGAGAATCACTTGAATCCAGGAGGTGGAGGCTGCAGTACTCCAGCCTGGGCAACAAGAGTGAAACTTGGTCTCAAAAATAAAAATAAAATTTTAAAAAATTTGATTATAAAACCTATTAATTTAGATAAACTTCCTAAGAAGCTAAAAGCAATATTATACTTTAGATACTGGTAGTGTTTGAAAAAAAATTTAGTTAAATGTAAAGATAAAACTTAATTTAATACAAATGTAAACAATGTATGCACTTTAAATGTCTACTGATAATTAAAAGCAGACAGTGGTGGTGGGGGGAATCCTGTGATAATTGGTTCAACTCTGATACTTACCTATAATTTTATTTCAAATATCTACCTCACTAGAATTTGAATTAAGCGACTCACTATAGGTTATCCACTTACCTTACAATGGTCATACTGGAGCTGTAAGGCTGGAACATCTCCTCCAATAGGCATTTGTTTCTTAAGCTCTTCATCTTTCATATTCAGCCATTTGATCAGTTCTTCTAAAGACATCAGCAACCTGTTCCACTTCTCAGCACTGGCCTCCAAATGGGCCCTGTTGAGAAATAATAATAATAATAATAACAACAACAACCACATTTAAGAAATGCAAATTACATTCACAAAATTATCTACTTTCCTTTAGCATAATAATCTCATCTGACCAAGTAATGTTTGCTTCCACAAAAGAGAGTGACTCCTTGAAAATATATATATATATATGTATTTACACATATGTATACACACATACATCCATTTCCTGTAAGAAACAGCTATTTTGAATAGGCTATAATATTCAGAGGATTTATTGGTAATAACTATCAAAATTTAAAACAGACCTATACACCACGAAGGCTTTCAAGAAGGATGTCCATGATAGAATGTAAAATTATAAACCAAGTTTTAACAGTTGGGCAAAATCACTGAAGTACTTTATATTCTCATTTAAAGGTGAGGTCTTTGTTTCAATAATAATTTCTGTATTTAACACAGAAACGTACCTTCAAGTTCTTAGATTATGAACTCCATAATCAGGGAAATGTTTAGGAAATACATTTTTATGTAGTTAAGGTTCCAATAAGAGCAAAGGCCCTTGAGAATAGGAGTGTAAATCTACGCACATGTTCCTTTTTTGCTCTTGTTAGGGCCCTCGTGAAAGCCCACTTATCCAGCCTCAGGCCCATCGTGGGCTGGATTTGAAAATATGAATCAGTCAGAAACAATTCCAGTGACTCAAGGAATCGAACTGGACTTGACTCAATCCTGCATCACCCCAGAGGGCAGATTGTGAATATGGACTTATGCCTTAACTTGGGGAAATGGAATTACTGTGACTCTCCATGATCTTTGAGGTTTAGAGGTGTAACAAGGCACATGTCTGCCTTTAATCAGCATATGTTGATTTTTAAAAAGTTAAGTGTGAAACAATAAAAAAAACGTTTAAATTCAGAACGAAGTTCAAAGCATTTTGTAAATCTCTGAGAATGGTATGATTAGAAAATTTATTTTCTTGTATTTTCTATCAGTTCTATTTATTCCACAGGTGCTACAACTGAACTCATTTTACAAAACTATGGTTTAACAAGGTCCTGATTCTGCTTGAGCTTCAGCTTTTCTGTGTTCATATTGATTAACTTTAGGCCAAATACGTAATTCCCTTTCTCTGATAAACAATAATTTCATTTGTCACAGAGCAGAACTAAATAATTTCAACTATATTAACTAAAAATTCTCTCTGTAGTTATAAGCCATTTTGCAGCAAATAAATTTGACTGAGCTACTGCAATTTATTTCCAATATTTTTAATTGCAAAAGCCAGCTGGAAATCAGATGTCCTCAGTCAAGAAGCACTTGAATGTCTCCGTGTGCAAAATATTTATACGTGTTCCCTGCCTTTTATTTCAGATGATTTGATCCTGCATCTTCAATGTCTGTAGTTTCACTCATTAATCAATAACTAAGTCACATATTATATTCCTTTGAAATTGAGTTCCAAACACTTATTGTATTGAAATGCCCACAAATATATTTTTCAATGCAGTCTTTTTTGACTGCACAGAAATAATGAAACTGATCACTGAAACTTACAGTATTTAGAATCTGAAGAACTATCTATTAATTATAAGGATGAAGACAATACTTTTTAAAAGAAATGCTGAAGTGGCTTCGAAATAAAAAAGAAAACGTTGGTATTTGTGTGCTTCTCTACATCTTTGATTTCCCATAGTAAAAAGCAAGTTGATCTGGCAGAATCTTTGTCTGGCAAATCTGTTCCGGTTATTCTCAAATAGATTATAACTATGTGTTTAGTGGATTACTACCATATGCCCAAATAAATGCATGCTTCTGTAGTAGCCTTCAGTGTTCTAGTTTCATTTGAATTCTTTCATCTTGAAAGATGAAAGCCTTTTCTTGGGCAACAGGTCGAATGCTTTGTAGGAAGAAACTTTAAATTTGTGTTCAGCCTAGTGGTACTTTCTCAATTATCCTATAAACATTTTAAAACTTAAATTTCTCTAAGACTATTGATAACCAGTGATCATCCAGAGTTTCAAAATCTTCACTTAAAACATTTCTTTATCAAACATATCTGTGGGCATTCATATTTTTAGACAATTGACTTATTCTAACATCTCGGCTGCTTCAGTTCACTCCTTTAGTACTTTGATATGTACAAAGCAATAAACACTTTTATTGACTGTATTATCAACCTAGGATGATGTAGACTACAGAATATCTTTTACACAAGTTACCCCTTTTAAAAGTGAATCAGGTTTTACAACTCTATAAGCATTTTTAAGTGACCAGTTATTCTTAAAAAATGTAATGCAAAAATGTGTTAGAAGGTAAAGACCCATAAAAATGGTACTTCATCATTTAAGAATAGTAGAAAGGAATTATGGAAGTAACTACAAACCAATATCTGTTTTAAATCAGCAAAAGCCTCTCTGCCTTTCAAAAAAACTGCATCTTCAAGCAAGTTATTATTCCTTCTCCCAGTGTACAGATATAAAAGGAAATAGTGTGAGTGAGTGTGAGAAGGAGCACTGGTTAAAATAAAATACAGTTTTTCATTTACTCAGTACAAGCAAACATTTATGGAGCACCCATTCTGGTAGAGATATCCCATCCACTGTTGTGTAATGACTACCCAGAGTCAAATGTCCAATTTGGCATTATTACTACAAAAGTAAATACATATACATATTTTTTGGTTTATGGTAAAATCTCCAAACTATAAATTGGGTTATAATGAAAGAAAATGCCTTAATTAGTCCAAGAATAACAGGCAACTTTAAAAGATTATTCCTGCTCCCAGGAAACGAATTAAGACATATTAGGAGAAAAAAGTCAAGTCTTCAGAATTCAGTCTGTGCTGAAAAGAACACCAAAGCCATGATTCCAATATGGTAGACACCAGTAGCATATGGCTATTTAAATTTTAATTTAGGATAAATACAATGAGTAAATTTTGAAATTCAGGTTATCAGTTGCACTGGTCACATTTCAGGTGCTCAGTAGGCCACATATGGCTAATGGCTATTATATTAACCAGTGTAGATATAGATAATGTCTATCATTGGAGAAAGTTCTATTGGAATGTGTTACACTAGATAAACCAGAAAAAAAAAAAAAAGACAGCAGTTGAATCTTCCTCTATCAGATTTGGGGAAAAAAAAATTAGTAGTTTTATAACACGGTTAGGAAAACCAACTATCTAAGGCTAAACATAGTGTCAATGACATTGTAAAATGTGGTAACATTAGATTTAAATGATGATGTTAAAGGTTAATCTTCTCTAAGGGCTTTTAAAAAGGTGCCCTGAATTTTTAAGAGATTCATAAAAGAAAGGGAAGATAGAATTTTATCTTTGAACTCTGTTTTCATTAGATTTGACAATTTTGCTGGCCTTTGAAACCATACGTTAATAAAGGTCTATATTAAACATCATTATGCTGATAAATGGATATTTAATTAACATAATCTCAAATTAAATAAGTTTAACATGAAAATTTAAACCTATGTCATCCACAGCACAGAACGTATTAGTGTGATTCCAATTTACATTTTTCCAGTGAGTAAAAAATATAATCAAAGTTCCTGACAGCCTGTCTTCTAGCTGACATTTTAAGTCAATAGCATTCTTCTCTTACACAGATTGAAGTGAAATTTATCATTGTATGTATTGTTCTAGATGCTAAACAAGATGTAGCATGTTGGATTTTAGTATTTAAAAAGTTTAACCACGGCTATCCAAAAAGACCGAAAAATAATATTTTAAGATATTAACCTGTGGTATTGGAGCCACATATTATTACATTGTTCCAGTGGCCACACCATGGTCAAAGAAGGTAATAACTGTGAAACACTTAGGGTAGATCTAGCATATAAATATTCAATAAGTATTAGCTGTTATTATGATCTTAGCAGACATTTTCTTTTTAAAAAATTATGATAAATCAGAGCAAATGTTCCCTGCCATGACATTTTATGCTATAAAAAATTTAATACCAACTTTAGCACAATAAAAGCATAATGTGGAATACAGAACCAATGCATATTAAATGCTCCAAGTAGTATAAAGAGTATCAATCAGATGGCCTCATTCTCAAAACAAACAAACAAAAAAAAAATGAAAGCCACCTGCAGAGAGAGACTTTGGGGACTAAAAAGGATCAAAATCTTTTAAAATAGGCATGGTGATATCAGAGCGGAACTGTAGGAGACTGAGACACACACACAAAAAAACATTTGAAAGATCAACTTATCCAGGAGCTGGTTTTCTGAAAAAAAAAAAAATTAATAATATAGATAGACTGCTAGCAAGACTGATAAAGAAGAGAGAAAACTCAAATAAACACAATCAGAAATGACAAGAGGGATATCACCATTGACCCCACAAAAATACAACCATCAGAGAATATTATGAACACCTTTATGCACATAAACTAGAAAATCTAGAAGAAATGGATAAATTCCTGGACACATATATTCTCCCAGGACTAAACCAAGAAAAAAATGAATCCCTGAACAGCCAAATAACGAGCTCTGAAATTGAGTCAGTAATAAATAGCTTACGACCCAAAAAAAGCTCAGGACCAGATGGATTCACAGCTGAATTCTACCAGATGTACAAAGAAGAGTTGATATCATTCTTAATGAAACTGTTCCACAAAATTGAGGAGGAAGAACTCCTTCCTAACTCATTATATGAGACCAGCATCATCCTGATACCAAAACCTGCCAGAAACACAACCACCACCAAAAAAAACTTCAGGGCCAATATCCTTGATGAACATAGATTCAAAAATCCTCAACAAAACACTGGCACACCAAATCCAGCAGCACATGAAAAAGCTAATCTACCACGATCAAGTAGGCTTCATCCCTAGGATGCAAGGTTGGTTCAACATACACAACTCAATAAATATGATTCATCACATTAACAAAATAAGACAAAAAACACATGATTATCTCAATCCATGCAGAAAAGGCTTTCAAGAAAATTCAACACCCTTTAGGTTAAAAAGTCTCAACAAACTAGATATTGAAGGA